ATATTTCAAGGTGATAATGGAATCTGTTATTTGTCTTGCTATTTTTAAGTTGAGAGAGTAAAAAAAGGGAGTTCTGGCTTGGTAGCAGAAGGACGGAGGTGCGAGAGTGGATGTTTAAGCTCCTCACGGCCTCTTGCTGGTCCCGAGAGGGCTGTTGCTTCTGGTTTTAGACACTCCATGCATGTTTATTACATATGAACATGAGTAAATAAGTACACAATACGCATACATACACTCACACACCCCAAATGCTTTTCTGAACCTTTTCTGTGCAATTGAATGACTTAAGATGGAAAATCCAGGTTCTGAGCCACATCGTGCCATCGTGTACCATAAGCTTGGCTAGACTATTTAGATGCCAACCCGTTAACATGTATCTATACCAGAGGCCCATTGAGAGCTTGAGGCCCTGCTCTGGCTATCTCTCAGCCAAAAATGTTGGTTCTTTGGACCGTTCTAGGTGGCTGTGACTGTGGTGTGAGGCCATTGGCTGCCACCAGGCAGGCTGGAGCAGAGCGCAGCGCATCTGTGCATGTACAAGCGTGGCCTGCTGCTCCCCATGGCTGCATGGGAATGTCAGGGGCTCTGTTCCTGCCCAGCCCCTCTGCCCCTGCAGGCCTGCTCAGAGCTGGATTCCAGCAAGCTTTTAGAAGATGCAGTAAGGCTGTCTGACCGTGGGCAGGGTCAGCTTGCTTTCAGGATTCAGAGTAGCAGCCCAGAGGGTCCAGCCCCAGCAATACAACTTATGTTGTAGCCCCTGCTCTTTGGGTCTGTTCTTTGGATCTAATACATGTCCCAAATAAAACGTTCCAGTGAAAGGTACTTTTTTCCTCCTCCTCCTCCTCTTTTTAAATTAGAACGGCATAACTTGGAGAGTTACAGTATCTTTTCAGGGTTCTCCTCATCCTAAGCTTTGCTTTATGATAGGAAAGAAAAGAAACTAATGTAATCCTGGTATGTTATGAAAATATTTCTATTGATGTTTATTCAAATGTGAAATTATTCATAAACTTTCAACTTGTATTTGTATAGCCTAGTATGTATGCAAGCATAAAGTTTATGAAAACATTTAAAATTAGAGATTAAAAGCGTACCAGGTTAACTTACAGTTTTATATTGTGCAGGATGCTAAAATGGAACAACCTCATTTGTCTTTTGCGTATGACTTGGTGTGTCATTCTGAAGTGATCAGAGATGCTGTGTGGATTCACTCGTTGATGTGGCAGTGTGTCTTCAGGAGTATGATTTCTGCTTCTGTTTCTGGTTCTGTGGCGCACTTTAATATTGCGGTGCATGCACGCGACTCTATCAGCTACATCACTGGGCTCTGGCCTCTCAAACGTGGAGGCTGCAAGATAGGATAGTTCTTTGATTTGTTTGTTTGTTTAATGGGAGAGGGAGGGGCTTAGATTTTGTTTTTAACTTTCTCTGTTGCATAAGTGACAACAAAATAAATATATTGTCAGATACTAAACCTTGAGATGCTTTTCTATCATTTTCTTGCCAGGAACTTGCTTATTGTACCAATAATTCTGGGGAAGGGAAGGGAAAAGTGGACGTGTTACACTTGAGATCTGTCTTCTACTTGTGTGATTTGTTTAATTTGCTAACATTATTGATATTTTTCTATTAAGTTCAAGTTCACTGCTGGCAGGATTTTACAACTACTGGATTATTTGTTTTACCTTGGAGTTCACATGAAAATTTCATGAACTTTTAACATTTGGATGGGAATTTAACTTTATTGTCCAACTTTATTTCTAGGGGATAGGTCAGTAATTGCATGTTGTTTTTTATTTAGTAAGTTATCAAATTAATTGAGGTATTATTCAGCTGTGTCTAAACATTTATCTTCACTTCTGAACTTTTTGGTTTTTTTTAGTCTTTTTGCAGTATTGGAAATAAATGACACTGAATTTTCTCCTCTTTCTTTCAAAGACTTTCAGCTGAACTCTCATCTCTCAACACTGGCAAATATTCATAAGATCTACCACACCCTTAATAAGCTAGTAAGTCAATCTTTTAAAGACAAAATTACCAACTATTTGAAGTAGTCATTTTGTGTAACTGTATTTGATAAAAATTTAGATTAAAAAAAATTAGATATTAAGATACCAGTTGCTTATGAAAATACCGAATTTTAAAACTTGATGTATGGCATGTGTTTTCTTGGTAATAATGAACATATTTCTTGCAGAATCTAACAGAAGACGTTGGCCAAGACGATCACCAAACAGGTATCTGTAAATCTAACATGACTTAATTTTAAATAAAGTTCTTAATATGAAACTATGAAAGAGAAAATCTAGTCACGAATGCTTTGTTTTGTTATATAGTAATACACTCCATTAGCAATTTGTGACTTGGTTGAGGTTGGTTTTCAGAGTGTAGTGAAGGCAGCCATGTTACAGCTCCTTCCCGGCAGGAAATCTTTTCTGGGGCTCTGGTTTATGACAGAGCGCTTTAACCCCTTTAAAGGGGCTAGGGACTTTCTCTAATGGTTTCAAGATATCATTTATTTCTCTACTAACGTATTTTAGTTTATACTAAAAAGGTGTTCCAGTAATGCAGTTTGAAAGGGATTCCATAAATGTTAAACGGCTGGGACTTCCAGTACTATCTTGAAAAGAAGTGGCGAATGTGAGCATCCTTATCTTGTTCCAGTTCTTAGAGGGAATGCTTTCACCTTTTTCCCATTCAGTATGATGTTGGCTGTGGGTTTGTCATATATGGCTTTCATTATTTTAAGGTATGTCCCTTCTATGCCTAGTTTGTTAAGCGTTTTTATCATGAAGGACTGCTGGATTTTATCGAATGTTTTTTCTGCATCTGTTGAGACGATCATATGGTTTTTGTTTTTAATTCTGTTTATGTGGTGAATCACATTTATGGATTTGCATATGTTGAACCATCCTTGCATCCCTGGGATGAAACTCACTTGATTATGGTGAATTATTTTTTTGTTGGATTCAGTTTGCTAGTATTTTGTTGAGGATTTTTACATCTATGTTCACGAGTGATATTGGTCTATTTTCTTTTTTTGTGGTATCCTTTCCTGGCTTTGGTATCAGGATACTGGCTTCGTAGAATATGTTAGGGAGGATTCACAAAAGGTCATCTGTGACTACTGTGAACATCTTTATGCACACCAACTAAAAAAATCTAGAGACGATGGATAAATTTTTGGAAACATACAACCTCCCAAGCCTGAAGAAATAGAAATAGAAATCCTGAACAGGCAGACTAGTAGTAACAGGTAGTAAGATTGAATCAGCAATAACAAACCTCCCAACAACAACAAAAAAAGCCCAGGACCAGGTGGATTCGCAGCCAAATTCTCCCAGACCTACAACAAAGAACTGGTACCTATTCTACTGAAACTGTTCCATAACACTGAAAACAGTAGACATTTATTGCTCATGGTTCTGGAGCCTGAGAAGTCTAGGCACCAGCAGTTTTTGTGTCTGATAAAGGTCTGTTCCTCACTGACGGTATATCTGGCTGCACCCTCACATGGTGGAAGGGACATGTAGCTCCTGCAGGCCTCTTTTATAAGACCACTGCCATTCACAAGGGCTCTACTCTCAAGACCTAATCACCTCCTAAAGGCCTTACTTCTTAACACCAACACATTGGAGATTAGATTTTGCCATTTGAGTTTTGGGGAGACACACAAGCATTCAGGCCATAGCAATGCTTGTTGGGAATTTCGAATAGCACGGAAGTAAATGGAGTGAAAAATGACGATCTTTCTTCATGCCTCCCAATCCTACTGCCTTCCCCCAGCGTGCGGTTTAATCATGGTAGCAGATGTGCAGCAGGGATGCATATGCTTTTCAGTATTTCACCTGGATCGTGGCCACAGCTGGATAAGTGCAGTCCAACGCACCTGCTGTCCCCCTTCCCCATAGCCGCAGCATGACGGTGGAAGTGGAGCGTTCGTACCCTTTGCCTGCACCGCTGGCAGGCAGATCTGAAAGGAGGTTCAGAGGGGCTGGGCTCTCTGCTCAGTTCAGTCTCACTGGTTAGACTCCTGGAAGGAGTGAGACAAGGGGGCAGAGACTGCCAGGAGTGGTCTAGGAGTGCATGGGCACTGAGGGTCCCTTCGCCTTATCTTTCCCTATCGGTAAATGTAGATCAACTCAAGGGCAGTCAAAGGCAGTTTCTTCCTTAATTTTAAAAGAAATATATGCACATGGTTTTAAAAGAAGTGTCAAAAAGTATAAAATAAAAGTGAAAGCTTCTGTCCCATTTTATCATCCCAGCTCTCACCTGCCACTAGTACTCCACATTTGACTTTTTGGAGGTAACTCTTAAATTTCTTATATTTGTTAACCAAATTATGATGATGATGATGATGGTGGTGGTGGTCTTTTTTTCCTCAGATGTACATGCCACTTGTTTTTTGCCACTCAGGAAATCTTGGAGGTCTTTTCATAGTAACACACTTATAAATCATCTGCTTTCTTTTATAATGGCTGCACAAGTTTCTAATTCGTGGCTATATCATAATGTTTCTCCAGCCTCCTGTTGATTTATATACATTTGCGTATTTAACTTTTAGCTACTACCAGTAATGCTGAAATAAATTTTTTAGGGCCACTTTTGATAGTTAGGAATAAAAAGCACATTTCTCTCTGATTCTGAAACAATATGATGGCAGGTTTTGTGGATTTTCTAAACTTAAGAATTACTGTAGTTTCAATTTTTAAAATTGAATTTTGCATTTGTAAAGCCCTGAGGCCGTCTTTTAGCGTGGTAAATGTGAGTTCTGAATCCTGTACATTATGTAGTTAATTTTGAACTTTTGATTTAAGTGAGTGTTGTTACTATAGTAATTTCACATCTAAATATTTAACCTGAAACGTGGCAATTTAATAACTGTATGTTATAATTAAGGAAGATGAAAGAGGAAAGTATATTTGGCCTCATGCCTCCCATTTTCCCTTTGGAGATGGCGGACGTGTCTGACGTCTGGTGTGTGACATGCTGGTGCGTTGCCTGCTGCCTCATAAGTGCCCAGCCGACGTCGGTTAGTGTTCGTAATTTCTTAGAGTAGTCCATTTCATTAACATTTCCCCGTCTTGTTATAGCATCGCTTGTGATTCTCACGCCTGACAGAGTATACATACTTTAAAAATTAAACAACACAAAATGTATGATGTTTGGAAATCTAAGTTTAATCACTCTAATGCTT